CCCCCGCAGCCCCGCCCGCCGCCTCCTCCGTGTCCATGGCAACGAAGCCATCGTCCTCGCTGTCGGACGAGCAAGCCATGGCTGCTGCCGGAGAGAGAGAGAGAGAGAAGGGGGGTCAGCCCCGAGCCACGAGGAGCAGAGCAGATCCTGGGAAAAGGGGAGGCAGAAAGGAGAGAGAGGGGGGCCGCAGGGGGGGAAGGAGGGAAGGACGAAGGGCTGCTCTCACCCTGGCGCCACGACTCAGCCCTGCCCCAGCAGCCCACGGCACTCCTCCAAAACATGGGCACAGCGACCGAAGCCCCCCGGTTCCCGAAATAAGCTCGCTCTCAACAATGACGCCCGCCAGACAGGATAGACCGCCTCTATCTCGTCAGCCTCTGGGAGCTTCCCGACGCTGCCGATCGGAACAGCGGGACGCCCTACACTGCCTGCCTGGAGCTGCACAGTCATCACTGCTGCTCAAAGTGCTGATGCCAGCTGACCAGCAGGCCGCAGGGCAGGGCTCGCGTTTCTGCAGCGCCAGGGAGCCAGAGGGCAGCGCGGGAGACTCGGGCTTGGCGCTCCGGGGCCCTGCAGACGAGAGGCTCCTGTGCGCCCGAGTGCCCCCCGAGCTGCACTCGCAAGGCAGACCCCCAGTCATCTCCCCACCCAGCCCTGAAGGAAAAGCTTTTGATCTGCAGCCCAGACATCAGCAGGAGTGAAGGTGCCAGGACCCGTGACGCATGTTTAAAACCAGTCCAGGAGAGCAGATCACAGCCGCACACACACACACACACTGAGCCAGATCAATGACAGCCTGGGCTCGAGCCAGGAGAAACCCGACTCCCTGGGCCTGCCAGGCAGCTCCGCCGGGCCCCAGGCCTCCCCAGGCCAGCGCACAGGGAGCCCCCCCTCCTCGCGCCGCTGCAGCGAGGTGCGAGCTCTTCAAAGCCCTCTCAGGCACCCAGACCTGCTCACACCTCCTGGGCCCTGTCAACACCCCCTCCCCACGCACTGCTGGGGTACCAGCTCTCCGGTCACACCAGCGGGGGTGGGTGTGTGTGTGTGTGTACGCAGCCACAGCCACACTTGTGAGGAACAGATTATCACAAAGACCAGTATAACAGGTGTGCTCTGCGGGTGGGAGGGGTGTTCAAACCTAGAAGTGCGCAACTGTCTGGTTCTGATCCGTTTCGCTCTGCACAGGCGACAGTAAGTAAACCAGCAGAGCGCCGATGGAAGAGCTCGGGAAGACACAGTGGAAACATGTCAGCTCACACAGACTCGGTCTCACCGAGACTCGGTCTCGGTTCACGGCCATCGGTATGTAAAGCAAAACCGGCTGACCGAACTTCAGACTCCAGGGGCCACAGAGAAACCCTTTATCACTCACACGCTGAGCCAAGGCCATGTGCTAATTAAAGATGACGGAATGTGATGATGACTCTCCAGCGATCACCCTGCTGGCCTGGCACGGCTCATCCAGCAGGCTCATCCAGCTCGCCTTTCCTGAAGCTTTACTGGTTTCCATTGCAAACTGTACAACAAATGTGCTGACTTGACATTTCAGGCCACCTTCATAGGTACAAAATGCAGCACTTAAAAATGTAATGACTTAAAAGTAAAAAGTATCTGAAACAGGCAAATTTGCGTTTATATAGTCCCAGTACAGCAGACCAGTCCTGTTCCAATAGGGGCTACAGTCCCAGTACAGCAGACCAGTCC